CCCCGGGGCCCCGTTTCTGTGCCCAGCCGGCCGCCTGCCCCGATCCCTTCCCGCTTGCAGTCTCGGCTGACAACATCCAGCTCACCTACCCCTCCCCGACCCCGGCACCCCGGCTCCCAGAGGGAACTGCACTTCGGCAGAGTTGAATGAATGAAGAGAGACGCGGAGAACTCCTAAGTGAGTAAGCGCAGCCACTGCAGCTCGAGTTCTTTTATTTCTTTTCCTGTGCACGTCTCTTTCTTTCTCCGTGTGTGGAACAGGTTCTTTAAAAGTAGGAGCCAGAGGCTCGGGGGACGAGTCGGGCCGGAGGATGGGGAGTGGGTGCGCTCCTGGGGTCGTTTGTTTGAATTCTGGCTTTGGCACTAGCGGTGGAGTTGGTTCCTAACAGAGGCTTCCATTCACCGCGCTGGTGGATGTGGATGGGAAACTCCATAGTTTGGGAACCTAAGGAATCGCTGGTGGAAATGTGCGCAAAGTTTGCTCTTAGTGAGGAATTGATGTGGCCTTTGAACATGGGAACTCCCAAGTTCTATGTACGCGAGAGAAGCTGCCCGCAAACTGACAAGAGACAAAAGTTCTTCAGTTTATACGTTGCTTGGGAACTGTGTCACCTCGGCTGGCCAGCGTGCCTGATGTTCCCGGGGTATTGTTGAGTAAGAGTGGTGCTGGTAAAGTGTCTTGTTATTAAAGTTGCCTGAAATTTCTGGTTTTGACATATGCCATCCTTAAGTATGTGAGTGTGTGTGTGTGTGTGAGAGAGAGAGAATATATAAAAAGTACAGTTAAGGAACTGTGAAGCTACCAGAGGGTTAATACCCAGCGCACACATATCTCCAAGGGCTGTGGAGGTCAAGTCTCCTCTCTACGTTTTCTGGTTAACCTTCCAACCCCCACTGAAGCAAGATTGTGGGGGAGGGGAGAGAACAGAAGTAGTGCATGTTTGGCTTTCTTTTTCATTCCTAATGAGATTGTTTGTGCTCTAGAATGCCTTCCAAGTGGGAACATCTGAAATTACTAGGGCACAAGAATGCCTTGTTCCAGCAAATATTGTGGAAGGCTTATGGGGAAGGTATTCAGCTTGCTCTGATGGGAAGTACTTACAGCACTGGTGCCAATACTGTACAAGTGGTATTTCCCACCTAATAATGCTCCTGGAAAAGTAAGGTCCCCTTTTCTCACCCCTGGGACATTAAAAGATGTTGAAATGCATCCTAGGAAACCAAACACCAATTTGCCTGTATCTTCAATCCCTATGCTCTGTCAAAAGCAGTTAAGAAACTTAGATGGTTCCATTCAAATTGCCTTTTCCTTTATCCAGGCCTTGCTCACAATTTGGAAGGGGAGGGGGATTGATTTTTCATTTCATATTCTTGACTTCTGCTAACTTTCTTCTTCTTCTCCAAAAGAAAAAAAAAAAAAAAACACTTTCACCATAAGGAGAAAAGTGTATATGAGAAGGTTCCAATGTTACATTTTTTCTTAAACTTTAGTCTTTTTCTTCTTAGGTCTGAATTAAACTAAAATAGAAATGACCCTTCTGCCCACATTGTAGAAAAGGGTCTAATTTATTGCATCATAAGTGTGAAATTGCTCATAGAATACTTTTTTTTTCCTTCAGGATCTCCTCTCTGCAAGGATTTACATAGTGCAACGGGTGGCATTTTCTGTTGTTTCAGGCATCTCTTTCACATTTTCACTTCAACTGGTCTGTTGGTAAAAGCAACACACTAATTTTCAATGAGGCAAACAGAGAGGGCATAGAAAGGCCTGCTTGGTCGGCCCTTGTACACTCAATCCAATCTCTGTCGGGAAGACACCCTGAAGCTTCTTATGTCTGTATTGCAGGGAGGCACTTGGACAGCCTGGACTCCTTGTTGCTTTTCTAAAAATCTTGGAAACTTTGTCCTTCATTGAATTACGACACTGTCCACCTTTAATTTCCTCGAAAACGCCTGTAACTCGGCTGAAGGTTAGTGCAAATTCTTTCCTTTCAGCCCCCTTTCTTAGTTCCCTAACTCTCAAGAAATAGAGCACTGCGATCTTCTCCCACAATCCCTGTAACTTAAGGTCTGCTCAACCTATCACCTTCAGGAACAACTTATTGTGAACTTCATTTCTAGATAATTGTTTCTAGAAAGAGCTGGCTGAACCGGAGCCTCAAGAAGAGGCTCTTTAGAGTGGGATTGGTTGTGATAAGGGGGAGGAGGAGGGAGGTGTTTGGAAATATCCGGGAGTCTATACTCAATAGCTTTCTAGCTTTGGGTCTTTATTTGGTCAGCCTTTCTCTGTCCTAATCTCCATCCTGCTCTCCACATTCACCCTCACCTGCCCTTCCTCTCCCACCCCTGCGCGCTCTCCAACCGCTGCCACGGGCTGCCGGTGTAGCTCCAGGTATACCCGAGCCGGGAGAAAGTGTTCAGTTGACCAGGCTGAGTGTGTATCACCCTGTTTCATTTCCAGCCATGCCTTGTGTTCAGGCGCAGTATGGGTCCTCGCCTCAAGGAGCCAGCCCAGCTTCTCAGAGCTACAGTTACCACTCTTCGGGAGAATACAGCTCCGATTTCTTAACTCCAGAGTTTGTCAAGTTTAGCATGGACCTCACCAACACTGAAATCACTGCCACCACTTCTCTCCCCAGCTTCAGTACCTTTATGGACAACTACAGCACAGGCTACGACGTCAAGCCACCTTGCTTGTACCAAATGCCCCTGTCCGGACAGCAGTCCTCCATTAAGGTAGAAGACATTCAGATGCACAACTACCAGCAACACAGCCACCTGCCCCCCCAGTCCGAGGAGATGATGCCACATTCCGGGTCGGTTTACTACAAGCCCTCCTCGCCCCCGACGCCCACCACCCCGGGCTTCCAGGTGCAGCACAGCCCCATGTGGGACGACCCGGGGTCTCTCCACAACTTCCACCAGAACTACGTGGCCACTACGCACATGATCGAGCAGAGAAAGACGCCGGTCTCCCGCCTCTCCCTCTTCTCCTTTAAGCAGTCGCCCCCGGGAACCCCAGTGTCTAGTTGCCAGATGCGCTTCGATGGGCCCCTGCACGTCCCTATGAACCCGGAGCCCGCGGGCAGCCACCACGTGGTGGACGGGCAGACCTTCGCTGTGCCCAACCCCATTCGCAAGCCAGCGTCCATGGGCTTCCCCGGCCTGCAGATCGGTCACGCGTCGCAGCTGCTGGACACGCAGGTCCCCTCTCCGCCATCGCGGGGCTCCCCTTCCAACGAGGGGCTCTGCGCAGTGTGCGGCGACAACGCGGCCTGCCAGCACTACGGCGTACGCACCTGTGAGGGCTGCAAAGGCTTCTTTAAGGTGAGCAAGAGCTGGTGTGGAGAAGGCAGGTAGGATCGCCCTAGTGCCCAGGACCCCGGAATGTGTCTTTCGTCTGGGTGCCGGCAGCCCTGCCCCAGCTTGCGGTGTACAGCCTAACTCTCCCCGGATTCTCCGAGGTTGCTCTGCAGCCGCGCTCTGGCTGCAGTCTGCCGGAGTTAGAGTATCTTAGAGAAGGAAGAAGGAAGGCAGGGAAACCCAGGGTCGCATCCCCTCACATTGCGGACCGGCGGCCCCCGCCCGAAGTTGCTGGAGCCGGACTTGGAAGAGGGTCATTTGCATGTACTAGGAGCTGTCTTCCCTGCTCAGATTGAAATTGGTTAGGACAGAGAACCGTGTCTGAGCTAACCAAGTGGAACAGAATTCCCTATGGTCAAATTAAGTGATCTCTTTATTTCGCCATCCTGATTGAATAATCTTATCATTTTAAATAGAGAAGGTCTCCAAGGAATGTAAATAATATGAATGCCCACGGATTTGTATTTACTGAGCGTCTCCTTCTCCTTCTCTTGGCATATAAAACACAGCAAGGAGCGGCAAGGTTAGCTCAAATGTTAACGCTATCAATTTTCTTCTGTTAAATGCCCTGGGGGAGGGGAAAAAAGAGAAAGAAAAGGAAAAGGAAAAATAAAAAGGAATTGTGTGTATGTTTGTTTGTGAGTGGCAAATGTAGAATCAAACCATCCAGAAATTGTCTCCAGGTTACAAAATTTTAAGAGCAAAAAAATATAATCCTCGGCCTATATTGTCTTATTTTTTACAGCGCACAGTGCAAAAAAATGCGAAATACGTGTGTTTAGCAAATAAAAACTGTCCAGTCGACAAACGGCGCAGGAATCGCTGTCAGTATTGCCGATTTCAGAAGTGCCTGGCTGTTGGAATGGTCAAAGAAGGTAGGTCGGGACCAGCTGCCGACTCCCCAGGCTGACTCTCGGTAAACCATTTTCCTCTACCCAGAACCAGAGGTCTGCAGTTCTCTTCCCTCTCTGGGTTTGATCTCCAGGACATCGCAGCTGCCTGCTTGCCCAGCCTCCCATAGAAAAAGTCACTGGGCCCTTCTTGCCTCCAACTATACAAGACACATTTGGGGGAAGATACAAAACAATCCCACATTTTTTATGCTTCTCCTCAGTAAAATCTTTACAAGCAGTGGGGGCCTTGAGCAACCTGGCCTGGCACCCCGCGGCTGTGGCCTTCTCTGGGGGAGGGGCTGAGGTAGCAGCTGGGCCTGAACCCTGGGGAGCTGTGCTAACACGGCTATTCTTTTGCAGTGGTTCGTACGGACAGTTTAAAAGGCCGGAGAGGTCGTTTGCCCTCGAAACCGAAGAGCCCACAGGAGCCCTCTCCCCCCTCTCCCCCGGTGAGTCTGATCAGTGCCCTTGTCAGGGCCCATGTCGACTCCAACCCGGCTATGACCAGCCTGGACTATTCCAGGGTAAGAAGCTGGCGGCGGGGGGCGGGGGGGGTATCTTGTAGACAAATCAACAGATGGGCAAGACCCCCTTCCCACACCCACCACCAACCCTAGACCCAAGGGGTAAAGGAGGCAATCACAGCTGTAGATGACTGCATTAGAGCTCTGGACAGGACCACAAGAGTCAGACCTTCATACAGCCCATGCAGTTGGGGGTATAGACATTTGAACAAGGCAGAAAAGAGAAGAAAAGACATACTACAGTAGTAGAATCTCCGCGAAACCCCACCTGCACTGCCCCAGCCTCCTGCTACTTCCCGTACATACCAGCCCTTGGAACACATGAACAGGAGGCTGTGCAAAATTGCCCCATGTCTACTTTACCCGCTGTCCTCCATAGAGATGCTTTAATACTATTTTTTCTTTTTTCTTGGCACTGTCTGGGGAAGCATGCGGGACCTGCCTAAGGGTTAGGGAAGGAAAAAAAGGGATGTAAAGTATGTCATGGGGTGGGTGATCAAGTGGTCAAATTCCATTTTTGCTCCAGCTGTGAAAAATGTGCGGGCTTTAATTGGAGGACGTATGTTGGCCCAACCTAGAAGCGACTGCAATTTTATTAAGATTTGCAAAGGGTGTCTCAGCTCGAGACTCACTCTGGGACTAGCATGAATACTAAAGTGTCAATTGTTTTGTGGAGATAAGAGTGAACGTTTCCCAGGGCTGGATGGCACTGTATTTAGTCTGTATGGAAATGGTAATTTACATATTTAAAGCAGCGACCTCATAGCACCATCCCTAATTGAATTAATTGCCCCGGAACATCTAATTTCCTTACTGGTCAGAGAGAGGTTTAATTGTTATAAAAACCTGGCTCCCCTACTAGAAGCGGGGTTAGCAATTTCACGGGTTATATATTTTAGAGAACCTCATTAAGTGCTTTTTAAAATGAAATTCCAGTTCCAGGCGAACCCTGACTATCAGATGAGTGGAGATGACACCCAGCATATCCAGCAATTCTATGATCTCCTGACGGGCTCCATGGAGATCATCAGGGGCTGGGCAGAGAAGATCCCTGGCTTTGCCGACCTGCCCAAAGCCGACCAGGACCTGCTTTTTGAATCAGCTTTCTTAGAACTGTTTGTCCTACGATTAGCTTACAGGTAATGAGAGAGGAGGCAATTCAGGGAGACTGGGAAAGCATTCAAGAAAGGGCAAGAAAGGAAGGAAATGGGATATTAAGGGAGGGAGAGAAAAGGACATAAGAAATGAAGGGGGGGGAGGAATGAAAGATAGAAAACAAAT